CTCCTGGATCTCTTACTCTTCTCACGCTCCCCCTGCGGACTGTGTTGCCTCTTGCCTCCTCCCCCCTCCTTCCCGATAGCCTTGATCTCCCCCATCACTCTCCTCCTCGTAGATACATTCCCCCGCAGAAGCCCCCAACCTGTTCCCCACCTTACAAACGATGCCTTGGAGAATTATCCAACGGGGCCTTTGAAAACACGTAGGCTTGTAATGGCGTAAAGCGTGCAAGGATTGTACTTTTTTTTCCACTGCCAGCTGCAGGTAGAAATAAGAGATTTCATAAAAGATCCCTTTCCGTTCTTGGAGGGGCTTGGTGAGCAATAACTGCACCTGCCCTGCTGGGATGGGAAAGCTTAACAAGGCAGGCCGGAGGAAATGGCGGTTTAATCAAGAAGCGAGCGGGAGATGGGTGGGCATGTGTGAGCGGTGGTGTGTGTTCTCTTGGAGGATGAATCTTCCTGCCGAAATGAAGAGTAGGCAGCAAGAAGCTTTGGGCTAATTAAAGTGAGTAACTCTATCCCAGAGCCTTGTGAATTATTGATCTGACATAGGCTCCCCATAGGCCACTGTGTGCTCACGAAGCTCAGGGCACATGGAACAGCTTTGGTTGGGCTTCCATGCCAGCCTCCCTGGCATGTATTTAATTGCTTCAGTTCTTCCTCTCGGAAGCCCTCGTTCATGCCTTGGCTTTTTCTGCAGCATTTTTATTTTTTGCTGCAGCTCCGGGTGAAGGCGTAGGATGGACATCTTTCTGGAAAAGGCTCATTTCTCTTCCCTGTGTCTTGGAGTTGCAGCTGTTTCAAGTTGACTAATGTGGGGTGGGTGGCCGGAAGGGAAAAAGAGCCTGCAAGGAAAACATCCAAGGTATTTGTTCTTGAAAAGTCAGGCATTGATTTGGCCAGGAAATGCCAGTATTGGCCCCTTTAGCATAATCTAATCTAGGGTTTTTCAACCTTGACAACTTTAAGACATGTGGACTTCAACTCCCAGAATTCCCCAGCCAGCATAGCTAGGAGTTGAAATCCACACGTCTTAAGTTGCCAAGGTTGAGAAACCCTGATCTAATCTCTTCCACCACCAGGAACACTTGAATCACTCCTTAAAGGAGCTGGTTGGCTCTCACTTGTTAACTAACTAAGCAGGGGATTCTTTGCTGAAAACAAATAATGGAGCCAGCAAAAGCAATATTGTGGGTGTCTACCTGCCAAATAAGAATGATTTATTCTGCACTATCAGTGCGTGTGGCAGTTTATGTAGTTTAACGAGTAAAACAAACCTGAGATCCGTAAGCCCCAATGAGCTTACTGCTCTGAATCTTAACAACTGGAAATGCTGGAGGAAAAAGCAGAGGCACCAGGGATGAGTGAGTCTGCCTTTTCCTTTCTTCCATATGGGCCAAATTTAAGTTATACTGGACAAGGGAAAGGGAAGGAAGGACAATGGAATTCGAAGGAAGTTTGGAGGCCAACTGTGATGGAATGGTTTGGCAAAGGTTTGGAAGTGTAGATTCAGTCTGGAGAGATTGATGTCAGGTTCAGCTCAAAGAACTCCACGAGACAGTACAGATACAATTCTGTTGCATTTATTAGCTCCAGCCTCTCAGACAAAATCTCTCCAGACTGAATCTACACTTCCCAAGCCAGCCAGCCAAAACACTGTGAATTCCT